TGCCGCCATATAGCTGGAAAATTGCTGAGTGCGGAGTTAAACAACATACAGAATGTTGACAACTGCAGCCTGTCCATCCTACTTTGTTTTTTTCCTTATGACAAGCAAGACTTGAATCCCCTGAGGAACACAAATGGCCTGAACATTAATAAAAACAGCATTTGCTTCGAATCAGTTTATCAAAGCATGTTTCTGTTTCCACCCCCACACAATCCAGACCTGTGTACAAGCTGGAGCAATTTCCTAGTTGGCATGAGGAAATTTGTTTCCTATCAAATAAGAAAACATTGTACAGGGGACAAAGAAGTATGTGTGAGTCATTCCACCAACATGGCTGCTAAAATCACACCATATGAATCACCAACACATCAGGACCATTTTTATGAAAGAGCTATTTATATACATTTACAGGACATTAATGTCCCCTGACTACACGCCCACAGTGAGTAAGGTCCTGTGGAAAAGTTTGAAAAGAAATAAATTCCCAGTGCCAGAGTAAAGAAGTTTGCCTTTTATGGCTTGTGAAGACATTGTTTCATTGCAAGTAATATAGACAGTATGAAAACATTGCACTGGAAAAATCAGGGACATCTGACTGCAAACAGTCAATTTTGAACCATACAATCAAGTGATTGATATTACTGTCTGGGAATGCTGACACAATCCACAAGTACCCGTGAAGGTCCGGGTTAGAATTGGTCTTCAGCAACCCATGATTGTTGTAAGCGGCGATTAAAGCGATTGGGTGGTCAGGCTCGTTGACTTGGTTGACACGTCATCATATCCCAGTTGCGTTGATCGATGCTGATGATGTTGATCACTGTATTGTCTGGTCCAGACTCAATTATTTAGAGACCACCGCCATATAGCTGGAATATTGCTGAGTGCGGCATTCAGCAACAAACCAACCAACCAAAACGACAATCTGCAAAGCCTTTTAGTCTGAACTTCTGATCTGTTCTGCCATTTCTTATAACAAGCATAGGTTTCTGAAGAATGGTTCAAGCCAGAATCCCAGTGGAATCCTGATTTATAAAGTTATCACATATATGGGATGACATGTTGGGGCACTACTATGCTTCAACAGTGGCTGAATAATTATTCATTAAATGATAAATGGTTAATTACTTATAGTATATTCATCGTTATCTGGTTCCAGTAACAGTCTCCCCATGGAATCCTGATTTAGAAAGTTACCACATATACTCTTAAGCACCACCATTTCTCTTTATCACCATCCCTGAACACAACGCATGGGATGCACATGTACAACACAGTAGCCCCATACACGTGCCTGGGGTGTCATTCTTGATTTTGACATTTCTCAAGGTCGATAAATCACTCTAGACCATTAATTTTGACAATCATCTTGCACCACACAGTTGTTAGTGTTTGTTTCTTGCTGCATTTTTTTGTTTGGAATTGAAAATCGTACATATGCAAAATTGATGTGATACACCAATCATCTTGCAAGAGCGATTACTGTACAAACAACTACGGTCATAAGGAAGTGCAAGTGGTGATGCACTCTCAAACCATTCATTATTCATCAACCTTGATTGACTCCGATATATCTCCCTTCATTTTAATTTACTATTAAAATCTCCCATTTTTTAAAATCGTAAATTAAAAACGAAGTTCCCCTACTTTTTTTTAAGAGTATATATAGGATGACATGCTGGGGCATTACTGTGCTTCAACAGGGGCTGAATCAATATCCTTCAAATGTTACTTATAGTCTATTTACTGTTTTCTTCAACCAACTTAATGAGGATATGTTTGATAATAATAACTACATGTTTGTAGACAAAACAAAAATAAATTACAAAACCACTATCTATATGTTTTTAATCCTGATAAAGTTATGTAACACTTCAATCAGTTATGCCCTTTATTCTATGCCAACAGTCTGAAGGGAGATGCCCAAACTTGGCAAGGCCAGCGTTGTCATTAAGCGTATCCCTTGCACAAACAAACACTGTTTATATAGTTTCTGCATGGCATCCTGCAATACCCATCATGGTGGCAAGCACCAACCAACATGAGCAGTTGTCACTTCTAACATGCTTCCATGATGAAATATAAACAGCGCAGGTGCTTCATCAGTTGCAAGACTCAAACACCAGTCAGTGGAATTCAAGTAACAATCTACATGAATCTACAAAAATTTGCGGGTTGTGTTTGAAAGGGACAATTATGTTTCCCAGCATTCCACTCGATTCTAACATGCATAAAACAGATGTAATCTCTGCTTGTTGGTGCAGAATCGTGCTTGAATGTGGGTGTAGTTTCTGAAACAAATATACTCTAATTTACTTAATAATTCCTTGTTGACAGTGATGAGTCCTCACATCAGTCTACCCCAAGCTGAAGGTGTTTCATAAATATTTGTATTCCTTCATAAGTGAGAAATTGTTGATTGATGAATAAAATGTGAAATGAAACTGAAATTTCGATACAAAACTTACTGTCTCGTCAACTGTTAACAAATTTCTGTAAATAGTAACAACTTCAGCGTAAATCCATATCAGAAGGAAAGCATCACTTTGACATTTCATTCAAAGCATTACTTGATGTATAGTGCTTGTTAATGTATATTTTCATTTCAGTCCCGACCATACTCTAAACAAAGAGCACTTTAAAGTGGCATCGGTGCCATTTTCATATCATGACCACTGAAAATTTAGTTTGACAAATTATATTGTGAACCAGACAAATGAAACCAGCAGCCTGAACCTCCCCAAGTGATGTGAAGGGAGAATACATGTGGTACCTCCCCATCACGCTATGGCTGTGGACATGTGGTTCTCATATCGGCGCCAGTACATAAGTATTGAATTACACCAGGTGATACGGACCAATATCTGCCATTAGTGGTATAACATCAGTGGTTTTGGTATGCGCCATAAGCTTTCTTACTTTCTATTGTATAATTGTTGTACCATATTACTGTTTAAAATTGTTTAACTGACTGACATAATATTTATTTCATGAATAGTAAAATTGTTGTTTCAGCATTTTTTTCTGCTGCTTTTAATTATCTTGAACTCATAAAAATAATAATTCATTGTTCATTTTCGCTTGTACAATATGAATAAAATAATTTCAATAATTTAAAATATTTCCAAAAATGAATCTAAGTAACAGCAAACCTTTTCCATCTGGGAGACCAGTTTGGTTCATTACTGCCTTACTTCCACGAAGTGAGTGAGTATGCTGAAATTAATGCTGCTTCAACCAGTTTTTCAGTTGTCAGTGAGTGTTTGCTTAGTGCTGAGTGAGTGAGTGAGCGTGGTTTTATGCCGCTTTTAGCAATATTCCAGGAATATCACGGCAGGGAACATCAGAAATGGGCTTCACACATTGTACCCATGTGGGGAATCGAACCTGAGTCTTTGGCGTGACGAGCGAACGCCTTACCCACTAGGCTACCCAACCGCCCCTTGCTTAGTGTTGAAAAAAACAAACAAACTTGAGTTGATGAATATTACCTTAGGAATTCAATGATAGTGACAATGTATCAGAATACGAGCATCAACCGGTCTCTCATCCCATTGAAAAGCTTATAACATGTAAACTTCACAATAACTTATCTCTGGATATCAAATTTCAACACATGTGACCACTGAACCACCAGGGCTTTACCTGCCACAACACAACATCTCTCAAGTCACACAGTGTATCATCACCCTGTTTTCCTGCTCCCAAAGCCAGCTTAACAAGTTGTAGACGAAGCATCCAACACCGTTGGCCATTATCCAACAACAGGCATCCAGCCATGAACGTTGACTCGACAACCGTGAACCTAATCAAGCAAACTGATGTATTTATTGGAAGGTACCACACACCTTTCCCTGGTATCCATACATAATAAACACTGTAGTACACACCTCCTAGAAACACAAACCAGGCATTATATGGTAATTAGGTCTGGGATTCCTTGATAACACTACACGTGCTGCTAATATATTGTGGTTATTCCTCTATATCACATAGGTATAAGCCTGCTTTATTCCTGTCTAGGGATACCTGGGTTTATCGGTTACGAGAATGTTATTTCACATAGCCATGAAATGCCTAACATACATTACAGACAGAGCAAGATCTATAACAAGTAATAACCTAATGTCAGTGTGTAAAGAGTGATGTACGGATCTTGTCAATTACATCTTCAGTCACTGTTTACAAAACCTGAGATATTAATACGCAATAGCCTACAAGTAAGTGTTTTGTGATGGTGGCTTAATTTTTTAAAGAGACACTGTTGTAGGGAAGTACTATAAACATACACAGAGCATCTAGCTTTTATTTATTTACTTACTGACTGACATTAACACATATCTATTTATTTATCTATCCATCCACTTCAAAATTTCAACAGTACAATAACTGTCTTTATGAGAGCATAAGCCTTGGCATGTCAGAAAATGAATACAATGATGTAGCTCTGTGTCATTTATATACTACCTCACTTAAAACACCTCACTTAGACTCACTTAAAACACTCACTATATGTTATATATATATATATACATGTGGTTACATCGAAGATGAATTTCTCCACTAACTTGGGGGAACCAACTGCAAACCTTATGCAGATGAATTGCACGAGGAGCATGCATCAACTTGCTGAAAAGCATGTGCAAATATCGTGCATGTGAACAGCTGCGTTTGGGTGTAAAGTTTTGTTAAGAATTCGCCAATTTTCACTGAGTTTAATCATTTATTGAACTCATGACAATAAACTTTTCAACGTTACGAATTCGTTTTACAATACATCAGTCCATGTGTAAACAGTACCCTTAAACTGTATAGAATATTTTGCAAAATCTAGTTTAGATATGTTGACTGAAGTAAGTGGCTACATTTACACTAGTGAGTCTAAACTTTTGATGGGGACTATATTTTGTGTTCCTGCACAAGGAAAAGAAGGTTTATGTCAACAAGCAGGACATCGTATCATAAACAATGCATCAAAGTAAGCTACAATGTAGACTTACGTGTGTGACTCCAACACGTATCTCCCTGTTGACATTGCCAGTCCCCTTGATCATCTCCCCGGCAGTAGACCCCTTCAGGAAGCCAATACCCCCTCGAAGGAAACCCGCAGCTAGGATGTTCAGAACATCCATCAACTTTACCGATCGCCCTCTCACTGGAACAGACACATTATGTTTTAGAGCATGTCATCAAAAAGTTCTGACCCAAAACAGGGTGCATATACATATATACACATATAAGCTGGAGTGAGTTGACCTTACAGTGAGTGAGTGAGTGAGTGGTTTTACACCACTTTTAGCAATATTCCAGCAATATCAACGTGGTGGACACCAGAAATGGGCTTCACACATTGTACAAATGTGGGGAATCGAACCCGGGTCTTCAGCGTGACGAACGGAGGCTTTAACCACTAGGCTACCCCACCACCCCTGGATCTTACATATTATGCAACATACTGGTAATACAGAATGGTGAATATGCTTAACCAGTTGGACTATATCCTATGCTACCTATTGGTTGTTAAAAATGGTTTAAATACATAAATATATAACCTAAAGTGATTTGGATAATGTGTCCAGCAAAATTCCAGCTATATCATTGCAGAGGTCACCACTGACTGACTGACTGACTGAGTTTGGTTTTACGCCGCTTTTAGCAATATTCCAGCAACATCACGGAGGGGGACACCAGAAATGGGCTTCACACATTGTGCCCATGTGGGGATTCAACCCGGTCTTCGTGAAACGCTTTAACCATTAGGCTACCCCACCGCCCAAGGAGAGGTCACAACAGTGGCCTTCACACATTGTACCACGTGGGGATAAAACACAGACCCTCCATGTGACAAGCCAACACTTTAACCACTAGGCTACTCTACTGCCCTATACTGCTTAGGGAAGTATGGGAGCATCTCTTTCTCATTACATGTTATCATTGAAAAGATCATTCAGCATTTAAGCATTAGTGTTATTTGCGTGGAACTGCTAAACTGAGACAGGTAGGAATCCTTGCATGGCGGGATGCATGGCTACCTTGTGGTTGTCGAGGGGCTTGTGCTGTGGCCATCAGGTTGCCAAGGAGCTTTGCAACAGCACAGCGGGTATCATAGTTGGAGCCATCCAGAGCTCGGAAACAAAGGGAGGCCACTGTTTCCAGCTCATTGGTGTACATGAAGGGAGCCTCATTGACCAGTTGATACATGCACTGAAACAGAAAACAAATGAATAAATTAAGGGTTAAAGTTTGTTGTAGTATTTGATACACTGTCGGCATTGTTATTTCAGTTTGTTATTTCAGTTTCATTTCAGAATAAGTAAAAGAAGATATTTTGTCCTCAACAAATGTGACGACAACGAATTCAAAACTTCAAAAATCTCAGTATTGAATTGGAAGAAATGCATGTATTTAACATGTGCCGATTTGGCCAACTCCTTGAGGATGTGTAGGGTGCTGACAAATCAAGGATCACAATCTGGGCAAATAAGGAATTTAAACAATGGGTCAGCAGATCCTGGCTCAAGAGAGGCATGCAACTCTGTTCCTTCAAATATTCCTGTTTGCAAATTCAAATCTTTTGTTTTTAACATCTGCTTTAACCTCTTCTTTCATTCAACACAATATGTCTAAAGAGGCAAATTGACACTGTGCATATATTACTCAAAAGAATTTAAAGACGATCTGATTTTTCAGATAAACTGTAGTAGTATGAAAAATCGGGCAGTACTAAACATTTTTTGGTGGTATATAATCACATATTCTTTTTGAAATAAATATGGTTTATTATTCTGGTCTGGAATATTCCAGGGGATATTGCTTTAAGTATAGTTCTCAGCTATTTGAAAACATTTTATGAAAGCTTAATTCCGGACGTGGACAACAACAGAGTGGGTCCACATGCTCTCCCAGTCTGACATATCTAGGAAATGAAGCCATGTACACCAGGAATGTGTATACATAATGGCCCCACCAGACTGAGCTGATTCACCCAACCACATGTTTGTATGTGTGCACACTATAAATACACACACAGGAAGACTCCACGATAAATAAACATCATTTCATCACAGTTACAAGCACAGCACATTCCACATTTCAGTAACAACCTCAGTGGAAGGAGCAATGTGATTCCTGACGATCATTTGCAATGCAAATACACTGTGGTACCGCCTGAGCAATCAGATAGGGCTGATCTAATTAATACCACCAACTACATCAATGCCAACAAATATATACTAAGGCTGTAGATGTTGTGAGGAAGTAGTTTATGTCTTGCTGAGTGAGGTGGGGAAAGAATAAGAAATATAGATCAGTATATTAACTTGGCACAGCTACGCTGCTGTGATCATCGGGATGTATGTAAACAAGATGTTTCTGTTTAGTACCCTTACTCAACTTTCACATAGACAAAGACTTATCTCTAAAATATATATGCATTGATTGTCTTAGAAACAAACTCCATTTAAATTTAAAAGAAATCTAGTGAGATGGGCGACAGAACCTGTGGAAAATCGTGACATGCATCATTTTGGACTAAAGCATTGTGCCAGGTTGAAGCGAAAATGATGGGGTTCAGACTGTAGACAAATTAACCTTCAATGTAGCAGCTTGGGTCCCACTTGCCTTAAGACATACTCTATCACAAAGTAAAAACAGCATTACAATATATGCACCATTTGTCAAGTTCTTAATCCTAGTAACCTGGTGTTTCATTTATGCAAATTAAGGCAAAAGCCCAAGCATAAGTTTCAGTTTCACTGCTGAATTCAACAAGACCTACAACACTGAATGCCAATGTGAATCCAAGCCTTCAAGATGGCCTTTTCAGCAAAGATAATACTAGAACAATCCAAGATCACAAACATTCCACGTGTCTTGTCTGCAGGAACTTCAGTTAGCCACCCACCATGTTGTTTAAAGAGAGCTATAAACAAGGTGTATATCCTGTCTAAGAGCTATAGACAGGATATATTTCACCTATTGCATGTTATTGGAATTTCTATGCAATATTTTCCATGACAACCATATGCTTGTATTTCTTTTCAGATCGGAACGCAAACCACTCATCAACCTCTAACTCAGCAAGGTTATTTCTGACACTTTGTTGAAACATACAATTCAACATTTTCACTTAGTATAATTGTTTATTATTTCCCCTTTCAACGGGTCTTTTGGCTTCTTATCCACCAATCTTATCTTGCTGAGTCAGCAATCCAACACAGAAGACAACAAACCCTCTGGACCAATATAGCAACCTGTAGCATCAAACAGGATACACTTGCAGAGAACTACCAGCTGGTAATCGAGTCCAACAATCTTGTGTTCTCATCTAATACTGCTCCCGATCTGCTAACTTTCATCCCATTCTCCTTGTCCTCCATAGTGACATTGTGTCAGCTCCAGAACACCAATACCATAGACAGAAAAGTCTTCCCAAGATTGGTGAAATGTTTATTCACTGAATGACACTGACTGTGCCTTTGAAGCTTTTTTGCCTGATTTACCATGGAAACGGTTCCAGGAGACAGGTGTGTGAGATACTGCACCACCTGATGGAGTGCAATGCTGCTACTCAGTGGAGAGCATCACGATGTGCAGTGCATGTCTTCTGTAATTAGCAACGTGAACACACTGCACCTCTTGTAGCTTGCTGCAGGTGGCAACAGGACCAGAAATGGGAAATTTGGGGATGGGTTCATCACCAACACTAGCCTGTCTGCTTGTCTGATTTTAAAGTTTTAGAAGTAAAAATTGTGGTAATTGTATTAATTATTGACACATTGGATTTAGCTCAAGTCTAATGAATATTTTCATTTTGAGATGATTTTCATTCAGAAAAGGAACCCATCTTTTCAAAAGCCAGCAACAACTTAATTAAGACTGGTAGACTGTTCAATCTGGTTGGGTATGAGCAACCCTTGTTTCAGCATATATTATTTAGGAAGTGACCCTTCCAAGCATTATTGGTTGTCATTGGCAACACCAGTTTGATCACTTTCTGAGACAGGGATGAGGAACAGACTCATCCTGATTAAGATCACTTTAAAACATAGAAAGTATTTTTGGAGGCTGATCATTGTTTGGTTGATTGGTAGGTTGGAAAACTGAGTGAACAAGTGAGCTAGCTAGAAAACAGGGTAGGATCTATTCTGCATTTAGCAATATACCATATCACGGGATACCTAAAATAAGCTTCAAACATAAAACATATGTGGAAAAAAAAAAGTCAGTGGAATAAAATCCAATGGTTTATCCCAAAAGCTTACTCACTTTTGGAAGGGATACAAAGAACAGATTTAGACAGCGACCGTTCATCTCTCCTCTCCAAAGTAAACCATGAAAAACAACACCATAACACTTCAGACACTTCTGCCAAACAACTGGTTGTTATTTCTGGGTGAAAAATGTTGATATATAATTGGTTTAGTAAAAACACTTCAGTGAAATGTGACTCGAGAAATAACACACACATAATATGTCCTTGCAATTCCTCCATTCAGCCTGTCAGTATCTTCCTGCCTTCTCTGGCAGAAACAAATACACATCTCCACAAAACTTCAATCATCCACACAATATGACACCTACTTCCTTCTAACAAATCTACATCTTTGGATTGTGTCCAGGTGCAACAAAACTGGCTCTCTAATTTTAAATGTGATCTTGAAACATCTGAACACAGATGTGTGTTGGCCAAGATCAACACCGATCTCGTCAGGGATGTAAACACTGGAATATAAGCGCCTGGACCATTAGCTGTTCCAGGTACCGGTACATTGGGCATGTTCTCCTCACAAGGTAGAACCACTGCATCACATCCACAGAAACACCACAAACCGAATGATTTACAAAACTTTCTATACTGATTATTACTGTTACTGGGTTCCAAATTGTAACCATCTGGGAATCAAACCCAGGCTTACATGAGACAAGCCAACACTTTAACCATTAGGTTACCCTTTGTCCTGTATTGCTAAGAGAGGTATGAGTGAGTGAGTGAGTGAGTGAGTGAGTGAGTGAGTGAGTGAGTGAGTGAGTTAGTGAGTTAGTTGCTGCTTTCAGCAAATTGGGATACGATGTCATGTGTAATCCAAGTCAGCAAGCCTGACAACCCAATCCTGTAAATTGCCTCTTTCGACAAGCATCTCAAGCAGACTACCTCTTTCTTTTATTCAAAAGAGTGTTAAAATGACCAAATAATGATCTACAGCAGAAATATCACTGTTGCTATGTGACAGAAATATTGCTGACACAAGTCGAAATATCAACACTGTTGCATCAGCAACATTACTGCCTTATCATTCATGGCAGCCTGTGGAATACAAATTGGAGTTGACAAACCAGTCATCAAAGGTGTGAGCAACTGTCTATATCACAAAATGGTAGTTGCTGTGCAAGAGCTATTCCCCTCCACTGCCATTGTAACCACCCAATCCCCAGATTCACTCCTTGCTGCAAGCATATTATACCAGGGACCAATTGTGCACAGGAATACCCAAATGATAAATACCCATAGCAGTCCTGATATCATGATACGGTACTTATCAACCTATCCTTGATATCATGATACGATATCGGGTCCCTGATATAATGATTACTTATCAACCTATCCTGATATCATGATACGGTACTTATCAACCTATCCTTGATATCATGATACGGTACTTATCAACCTATCCTTGATATCATGATACGGTACTTATCAACCTATCCTTGATATCATCATACGGTACTTATCAACCTATCCCTGATATCATGATACGGTACTTATCAACCTATCCCTGATATCATGATACGGTACTTCCTTGATCAACCTATCCTTGATATCATGATACAGTACTTATCAACCTATCCTTGATATCATGATACGGTACTTATCAACCTATCCTTGATATCATGATACGGTACTTATCAACCTATCCCTGATATCATGATACGGTACTTATCAACCTATCCTTGATATCATGATACGGTACTTATCAACCTATCCTTGATATCATGATACGGTACTTATCAACCTATCCTTGATATCATGATACGGTACTTATCAACCTATCCTTGATATCATCATACGGTACTTATCAACCTATCCCTGATATCATGATACGGTACTTATCAACCTATCCCTGATATCATGATACGGTACTTATCAACCTATCCTTGATATCATGATACGGTACTTATCAACCTATCCCTGATATCATGATACG